AATTAATATAAGCAGGTATAAGCAAAATATCATAAGTGAATTTTTATGCCGTTAAAGAACAAGAATAAGATCTATTGGTTTTACCATTTGTTTATTTATACAATCAAACACTCATTAATATTTTTTTCATTCCTCCATCGATCACGTGTTGTGTTTTCATCAGTCCATCAATCAGCCGGGTTCTTGATGGCAAATCAATCTAGTTATTCGCTCAGTAGTTTTTATGTTGTTTCTTGGCTGGTTGGTTAGTTAGTTGGTTGGATAGTTGGTTGAATGGTTGGTTGGTTGGTTGATAGGCCAGCTGGCTGACTGGTTTGTTAGCAAACTAGTTTGTGGTTGGTTGACAGATTAGTTTGTTGGCTGGTTGATTAGTTTGGTGGTTGGTTAGTTGGTTGAATGGTTGGTTGGTTGATTGGTTGTTCGGCTGGCTGGCTGGCTAGTTGGTTGGCAGATTATTTTGTGGTTAGTTGGCAGATTAGTTTGTTGGTTGGTTGGCTAGCTGTCTCGTAAGTATTTTCATTTTTTTCCCGTTAGCAAATTTATTGCCTGTACTTTATTGATCGTTTTGTTTTTTTATTCTTTTTTTTTTGTTTAAATTCAATTTAAAATTTAAATAAATATTTTATTTTACTTATTTTATTAAATTTATATTAATTAGCTATTTATTTAAAAATGTTATTCTTAATTAAGATTACTGTTCAAATTTTTTGTGAATTAAAACATTCGTTTAAACTTGTGCTCATTACAAGAAGACTTTTTACACTCACTTATTCCTTTGGACTTGTTAATTTAATAACGTGTTTATCAACCAATTTGTTTATTTGTTCAACAAACAATGTTTCATTCTTTTGTTCAGTCATATTTTCGCTCCATCATTCATTCACATTAATTCTCCCTTCAGCTAGCTCCACACAGCTGAATCGTCATATCTGACACCCATTCACATTTTACTACGTTCTGTAAATGGTACGTAGAGTTACCTGCGTGTTTAGTTTATGTAAATGTGTGTGTGTGTGTTTGTTTGAGTCTGTCTGTCTGTTTGGTTGTCTGTCTATGTGCCTGGCTGTCTGTTTGTATGTATGTCTCTGTATGTTGATGATGATTTAAGGGTTGACTACATAAGGTGTTATGAAAAATGTGGTGTCAGTGATGAAGCAATTGAAAAACAAAAATGATTAATTCTATTACGGTAAAATGATGATATCAGAATGAAAATAATAATTTTTTAATAATAAAAATAATTAAATAAAAAAAATAAAAATGGAAGTTATTTAAGATAATTTTCATGAAACGGATATTTCAAATGGAGAAAATGATGTGCTAATGAGGCTGATGTTTATGATGATGGTAATAAAAGTGATGATGATGATGATGGTGATAGGAGTGATGATGATGATGGTGATAAAAATTAGCTGCCTACATTTACTGGGAACCAAATTATGCAAATGATGGATGTAAAAAAATGGCATTTAAAATCGGGCATCCTTGATGAT